ATCATCACTTATTATTTTTTCTGATTTTAGCAAAATGGTTTTATTGTAATATATATAATCTTGATTTTAATTTTTTTTTAGTTGAAGGCTTATTTTCTTATGATTGAATGTAGTTTCGTTCTCTATGGCTTGTGTCGTCCATGTTGAGTGGAATCGTTCGTATGAACAATAGGAAGTTAATGTGCTTATTGATCATATCACGATTTATGGTTTATTGGGTTAAAGTATAATTCTAATTTTTGGCTTGAGTTCAATCCTGGAACAGGGATGCGGGGAAAGTGTGATATGCAGGCATGTTATGTGTTCCCACCATCTTTAGTGAAATAGGAATTATTATTATTTTTTCTCTCTGTTTCTATGCAGTTTTGGCATAACAAAGTGGTCTAAAATTTGTTTCATTCTAGTTGCTATAGTATCTTTGTTGTTCTCTAATAGTATCTTCTTTCTTTATGGGGATGTTGCAGAAATTTTACACCATAGAATAGAAAGGGTCACAACATAAGAACGTTTTCTATGGTGTAAACTTTCTTAGAAAGGGTCAACGTACTTATGTTGTAGAAAGTTTACACCATAGAATAGAAAGGGTCAACGTTCTTATGTTGTAGAATGTTTACACCATAGAATAGAAAGGGTCAACGTTCTTATGTTGCAGAAAGTTTACACCATAGAATAGAAAGGGTCAACGTACTTATGTTGTAGAAATTTTACACCGTAGAATAAAAAGGGTCAACGTTCTTTTATGGCTAAATGGATTATGTCCGTATGTTACAACTAACAAATGCTGTGAGAGAATGACCAGTCACGTGGAGATGCTATCATAAAATGAAGAAGATACAAGGTATCTTGTAAGACTCGAACCTATATATTTTCAGAGCTCTATTAGGTCGTCGAATTGAATAGCTCTACAACTGAATTCATTTTTTATTCTGAATATGTACACCTTTCACAGGGCCGGTGCTGGGGGGGGGGGGTAGGGGGGCGTGCACCACAAATTTCACTCTAGCCCATCCAGATTCATTCTGCCAAGCAGTTTATAAAACCGCTAAGAAAAATCAACAAAAGCTCAACTGCCCTCCACCCCCTCCCCTCATGGGAGAGGGGTTGGAGCAAGTAGAGAAAACAGTTAAGCTGACCTTGTTTCAAGTTACCTTTGAGCGGTATTCACTTAGGTAGGTTCACTTAATAACGGAAGGATCTAATATGAAACTTACTAAGTAAGCTGAATTTGAAAACCAACCGAGTTTTAAGCTATGTGAGAAATATAGGGACTGGACACGTGTGATGTTGAATTAAACAGTCCATATTACAGACAAAGCAAAAAACATTGTGTGTACTTGTGCAGACACGAGACAATAATCTTGCTACTAGATTGGTGAATAGATCCACAACTTCCTTCCTTCAAAATAGGTTTTTAAAAAATGAATTCAGAATAAATACTACACGAAAATAGAAACACTTAGTATATTCGTATACTACAGCTGGATTTAATGCTAAGATGCAGTTTTTGTTGTTGTTGTTATTTTGTTTATGCCATGGAAAAGAACTTTACTATTTATGCAAGTAAATGTTTTCAAAATACGATTCGTTTGAAGGATTAACAAAATTACCTCACCAAAATTATGTGCCCATCTCGCTTCGTCGGTGGTATGAAAAGCCATCTACAAAACTTACACAGTATTGTTATATATTTTCTATACATAAACTTTAAATTTCCCCTTTCCATGACACCCTGACTCGGCATGGCCAGGTGGTTAGGGCACTCGACTCGCAATCTGAGGGTCGTGGGTTCGAATCCCTGTCCCACCAAATATATTCGCCCTTTCAGCCGTGTGGGCGTTGTATTGTGACGGTCAATCCCACTATTCGTTGGTAAAAGAGTAGCCCAAGAGTTGGCGGTGGGTAGTAATGACTAGCTGCTAAATTAGGGGTAGATACCCCTCGTGTAGCTTTGCGCGAAATTCAAACGAAACTGTGACACCCCTGTCTCAAACGGCATGTTCTCATTAAGAAGTTGTAATTAAAGGGGGATAAAATAACTTAAATTGCAACAAAGTTTCTATTTTAATTTTTTTTTTCAGGAAATTATAAAATTTTGAAAATTGTAATTCTTCAACCATATTTTCGATTTTTAAAAACTAAATGCAAAATTGAACTTATAAATAATACACGTTTCCTTCAGCGGCAAGAATTATTTAAAATAAATGTTAAAAGAATATTTTACGAAAGATTAGGTAGACGACAAATAATGAAAAATAATGAAATTCTAAAATGATTGATGTTTTTTTTTGTATGCAAGCACATTAATAACAATACTGTTTCATGAATATACGCAATAATGTTTATAGCCTTATATTACAAGTTAAGGCATAGTTAACTGAGTATCTCATTGAATGTAAGCTACATTGTGAGTCTGTTTATTTCGCTATTAAATTGTTAAAGCACTGACGATAATATTCTATAAAACTCATAAGTCTATTGTTAAATATTTCTATCTTATATTTCATTATAAAAAAACGATTTATAAAATTTAGTCAAATATCTTTTTAAGTTATTGTTTGTTCTTGTCGTGTCGTTAACGGATCATTTTAAACATGACAGCCTGAAGCGCCATCTTTCCGTTCGAGGGTACACTTCATAATTTTGTTGCAAATAAAAACAAAAAAGAAAGACTGGGCACTTTTTTATTAGATGTAAAACAGAATTTCAGATTTACATTGTAGGTTTGAGATAGCATTCACTTGATCAAACTCTACTGAATATATAAATTTTTTGGTATCCGTACATGATAGCTTATTAGCTGGCACTTATTTTGTTTAACACTCTGACCTTTCAATGAAATATTTATTGACATAGATAAGAGTGTTATGACATTTTACATCCCTTGAACGTGCTTCTGTTGATTTGTTCATTGATAAATGTATGAATTTACGAGTCTGGTTTATACGAATTCATAATCATATCCTTCATTTCGATTGTTTAAATAGTTACATGTTTAGTTTTTTCTTTCGAAGTTTTTATCATTTGTTTGGGATTGTTACCATTATTATTTTGAACTATACTCCGATTCGTTGCGATTTAAGGTTTTATCGTTTTATACATTCATTTCTATATCAATAATGGTTTCTTTATATTTAAATACTTTACTTAGAAACTGTATCATTAATAAACTGGATTATAATGAATTAAGTTGATTGTCATTCTCTTTATCTAGTTGAAATATTTTTATCACTTAGAACTTGTGTCATTCACCAGAGGCCCCCCAGTGGCAGAGAAAATCTGTAGTTTAATTACATTATTTGAGTTTGTGTCGCTAGTTTTTAGTTAAATAATATTATTTTATTTGCACATAAAATATTTCTTGAAGAGATTCGAGAGTTGGCTATTTGAAGGTGTCATTGGTAAATTTGAAACTAAATGGAAAATAAAAGAATAATTATTATAGCTACCTATTTTTGTGGCCATGATTGCCTCTGCTTTTGGTATATTCAACAGTAACGGATAACCTACTATTTTTTGTTGTTGTTTTTTTCTACTTTAATGGTAGTGGATTTACAAATTGTCAAATGAAGATATTCAACTTAATTTTTTTTTCTCATGACCCTCATTGTAACCTTCAATAAAGAATGTAAATTAATGTAATTAGGTTTTCATAGTGTTACATAAAAAAATACAAGCACTTTGTGTTCTTTGTGTTTTACCGATTGAAAAGTCCTTGAAAATGTTAGGTCTTATTATTCTTGAGTTCCTTTAATTGAAGACGAAACCATGAGCTTGTTAAATTGACAGACATTTAAGAAGACGGTTCCCATGTAGTGTGTCTTGTGAAAAAGCCAGTTCCGTAATGAAATCTTACGTGTAAACTTGTCCTAGATATAAAAAAAAAAACTTTTTCATTTCTTATTTCTTGTAAAAAACCAGAGATTTTTATTTAAAAAAAATAACCTTTCAATTCTTCTTTTTTATTGCGCTGGTCAACAAATTATAGAGATAAAATAACTGATTCAGCCAACCAACACACAGAACCATTCTAAGTTATGGTGCACGTGCACCGATAGGGTGCGACACGCTTTTGAAAGTACATCTGCACCTACAACGTGATTAACTCTTTTTAACGCATCGCGCATGTACAGAATGAATTAACTTATAAATTAAATAATACGACTATGTCCACATTATGCACTGTAACTATAAAAATGAACTTTCACATATTATTCTGTACAAGTGTAAAAAAAAACAAAAAAAAACTTACTTTGTACGAATGTATTACAAGAAACAATATTTTACAAGTCGAACGTGGCATTTACAGCATCCCAGCCATATTTACCAGATAGACGTGTGTTTACTATAGTTTACGTAACGTACACGCACGTTATTTCATGGTGATTCAAACTGTTTTATATATATACATATATTACATAGAAAGTTCAAGTTTCTTATGTGTATTATCGAATACTATTAACATTTTGGTATTTTAGCATATATTTTAAGTTTCTCACTTTCAGTTATTATGCTGTATAATACTAGCAAATTAATAAGCAACGATCTATGAGTACAATTATATTTATTGTACAAATCACAGGTTTCGACAATAACTTAGGCTGTGTATTGCATACCTGAAGAAGACAGATCAAGGGATGGAACAGTCGAAACACGTAGTTTGTTTTCTACAATAAATATCATTGTAATTACAAATTCTTATTTGTTAATTTATTACTGTGTTAGCATAATATGCTTTCCCACATTGCTGTATAATGTTTAGATTTGAATTTAACATTTCAAATTTGTGTCCAATAAAATAGTTTTTATTCGTGGATCGATGATGTAGTCGCGTGGATTCCAAACGAAGAATCTGCATTACAGTCGATCGCAGCGACAGTTGCTCTTGGCAACAGGAAAGAGGTAACTGGCTTACGTAGCTGAACTTGTGCAATGTGATTGGACAAAATCACGTGGCCTCACATCACACCATAACATGACTTCACCGGCGTCTTTGCTAACCGGCGAGAACGATCGAAACTTTTGTCTACAAAGGTTTGTTAATGTCGATGTCTTGAGAGTATATTATAGTGCAAAGGAACACATTTAGGCTTACCTTCAGTCTTCCCAGAGTAACACAGCAGGAAGGCTGGTGACATTGCTATTACTAATAATTGTTTTATAACTAATTGGTTTCATAAGTTTGCTGTTTAATACTGGTATTCCTGAGGGTGTGTTGTCAAGCGAACGCACAGTTACAACTTACAGGTGACTTTTCTACTTTTAGCTTGCTGTATCTCCTTTTGTATATTAAATTTAATATAAATAATATTATCACAATGAAAGTTCTCTATTTTACTTTACTTTTAGTACAACAGCGCAGATTTCAATATTGTTAACCTTAATAATCTTATAAAATATTTCAAAACATATTTTTAACATGATACTGATAAAGTAAAAGTAACTAAAACTAAATATTTTTTTCAACCGTAAATGATAAGTATAGTAATTAATATATTATTATATAACTTAAGTTAATTATTTAATTATACCATTTAATTTCGCACCTTCAGTATTTCAACTTGGCTTTCTAGTCTTCTTAGGCC